GCTAGGTTTGACCCTCCAGTCCAGCGCAGGAAAGAGCCCGGGCAAGCCCAGTGGCAGATCCTACTTGGGCTCAAGCCCAAAAGCGCTGACATCAGCAAGCGAAAAAAATCCCAAAACACTGAAGAAAAAAAATTCAATTTTTTAAAAAAAAAACCAAAAAATTATGGATGTTTTCTCTATAAATACATAACAATTTTATTCACTTTCCACACCAAATCCTCATACAAACTCTTCTCCTTCCAATATTTGTAAATTGTAATAATTTTTTCTCTTGCATTTGTAAATTGTTTATATTTTCTTCCATATTTATTTTTTTCTTGCGTAATCATTTTATTTCTTGCATTTCTAAATTGTTTATATTTTGTTGAATATTCTTTTTTTTTTCTTGCCCTTGCCCTAGCCTTTTGGGTCTGCCACTATTCACGTGAATAGTGGCAGCCCTTGCCTTGCCTTAGCCTTAACCTTAGCCTTTTGAGATGGACATGCTCTAATATGCAAGTTAAGGCCCCTTTCTACTCAACTAGACCAAAAATTCAAATTTAAGACGTCTTTCAATGTTAAGAAAAAGAATATTACTAAACTACCAAGAGTTATTGGCTGTTAAGGATACTAAGATTTTAATTTTCTAAATTTCTTATTATTAATCACCAACTACCAAGTTTGAAGTCGCAATTCTCTTTGAATAAATTCTATTTTTGGATTTGGCATAATTTAGAGCCGTCACAACTGAATGAAATGATGACATATTTCCAGACATACATACTGGTGGTACAATGTGAAAAGGAACTAATTTCAAATTAGTTCCATGGCGTTTATGCACAAGTTGATCCTTTAAATACTATTTCTGATTCAAATACACCCACACAAATCCATGCACATACATACCAGTAAAGTCGATAGCTAAGCAGACAAAGTGCAAAAAGAATTATGAAGTGACGGATAACAATGATTGATGACGACCATTAATTGCTATTAACCTATTGTTTTCAAAAATAATTGAGTTAATTAAGTTTGGATTAACAGCCCACACAGAGAGCTGAGGAGGTGACAAGTGCAACAACGTAACACATGAAAACATGGATGAATATTTGCCATCTTTGCCGTTTAAGTTATTTGCTGAGGAATTCTATATTTAATTTCTCCATCAATGTCTTGCGTATAAAGTTGCCTCGACAATCAAGGAGGGTCCTCTGTATATCTCTCTCTCCCATAAGGCGACATATATTTGATGGTGATATGCAACCAAATACCTAATACTACACAAATTAATCTTCTTTGCAAATGAATGGCTCCTATCTCCCTTATTCTTGGATTAAATATATAGTCTAGCTGTACCTAGCAAATGGTTTGAACAAATTCTCGTCATATACATAACATTTTTGCTTATATATTTTTTGAGAGTTAAGAGACGACTGATGAAGAATACTATTATACTTAAGTTATTCCGTGCTTTGTTAGAAAATATCATGAACAAACATTTATTCGATAAGAATAAAAACAACGTAACTTGTATTAAAAGAAACAAATATAAGAAAAAAAAGTTTATCTTCAAGGATATACGTCTTTCAGTTTGAAAAGAAGAGTGTAGTTGATGCTTAGAT